AGATACAAATTCTTTTACAACTTCTTGGAGGTTAGGAGTGACCTCTTATATAAATCATCTCAACAACACAAAAGAAAATCTCATTAATCGCGTCCTACTCAAGTAAGAGACGACTCTCTTCTTCATCGCAACATGAAAATAATGTCTCATTGATCATCTGCTACGCAAGACACGAACGAGCTTCTGTTATGTATGTTTTTTATTTAGTGAGTCTTTTTTATTTTTTGTGTTGTGTTGTAATATATTTTATATTATTATTATTTTTTATTTTTGAATAAAGTCATGAGTGATCGTGATTTTCACAAAAGAAAAAAAAAATCATAATTTATTTTTTATTTTAAATTTTAAATTGTTTAGATACTCCGAACCTCCTCTCAATAAAAAATATTCCACTCTTTTTTCAATCCTATGCGACAAGATACTCTTGCTCAGCTGGCAAATTATATTTATATCCTCCAACCAGTCGGTCCAATAACCTTTCCACAAAAGACACAATATATCCTTTTCGAAGGGCAAAAACGGAATTCAATAAATCAATCGCCTTATCAGCGAAAGCGAACCCACTTCGTCCCCGATTCTCAGCCTCTCTTCTTCTCCCCGTCTCTGTTCCGGAGACAAACGCAAGAAGCTAAAACGACGACCTGCGCAGTGATTGGAATTTATTGCAGTTCTACTCCTACCCGCTCTCATAAAACCTACCTCAAGCACCGCAGCAGGATGGCGACGCCATTGTCAGGGGACGGAGTTCTGGCCCTGATACCACAAGAACCCGTGAACTCCATCGACCCCGCCACCCCGTGTTCGTCTTCTACTCCCGCGGCGTCATCTTCAACCTGCATGAATTCGGGTGATAAGTCTCCGATATTTATGTTTATGGTATTTCAGAAAGCTATCCGGTCAGAGCTCGAGCAGCTGCACCGAGCCGCGATTGCGTTCGCTACGGATGGGGTTGGCGATCTACGGTGGCTGTCGGAGCGATGTCGGTTCCTGTTCGATATATATAAGCATCACTGCAATGCAGAGGACGCGGTATGAAAGCTTGCGTGTATCGCCTGCTGTGATTGTTTCTGTTTCTAGGGTTTGGGGTTGAGAATGTGGTTTCTTATGATTATGTGGTTAGGTTTACGAGTTTTGCTGTTAGGGAGATGTGGCTGTGGGTGTGAGGCATGATTCAGTGGTCGTGTGAGGGAAGCTTGGATATAAGAACTGAAAGTTGCTGTGGAAGCATTTTATTTCTTTTGTTTAGTATGATTGCCAAATGCAAGTTGGAATCAGGCTTTGGTTTTTTTTGGAGTAGATTTTTTATATTTGGGAATTAATTCTTTCCATTTCCCATTGCCCTGTTGTGCGGAAATTCTAAATGCGCTATATTCTATTTAGTTATTCTGTTTGGATACCTTTTTTTTTTTTTTAATTCGTTTTCTTCCGTGTCCTTCCATTAGAATCCTTCGTATATCTTTCAGTTCTTGGTTCAATGTAAGAGGTAGCATTTTTAATCTCAGGGCTTTTTAACAAATTGGAATTCTTTGAGTCTTGTGGTCATAAATGCATGAATTTAATTTGGATATGCATACTTTTTTCCTTGTGCTTGTGTCTTCAATCAGTTTTATTCATTCCACGTGAACATGGTTGCCATTTGTATGCTGCTCAGAGCAAATGCATCATATGTAATTTTAATCTCATATGCTTCCTTTCAAATGATAGGTGATTTTCCCAGCTCTTGATATCAGAGTAAAGAATGTGGCAAGGACGTATTCTCTTGAACATGAGAGAGAAAATGATCTTTTCAGTCAGTTGTTTGATCTGCTAAGCTCAAACATGCAAGGCGATGATAGATTTCTAAGAGAACTTGCTTCACGCACCGGAGCAATCAAGACATCACTCAACCAGCACATGTCTAAAGAGGAGCAACAGGTGAGTTGTCATATAGAAGATGCCGTGCTACTGAGTTTGTCAAATTTCAGCAATTATATATGAATTTATGAGGGTGCAACTTCGATTTTGTTGTTTTTGTTTCAAGGCTAATCTGGGGATGGACTTTTCATATTATGGTTTTCGAAATGTTAAACTCACTCAAAACCATCACCTTGGTGTAACTAAAAATGATTGAAGTGGTAAAGTTTAGTTCTATCTTGCATAAGCAGTCCCATAAGTTATATTGACCTAGGAACACATTGTTGACGGTCGGACACTTTGGACACACATATCCAACACGTCAAACATGCTATTCCTGTCATGCCTCAAAATTTTTTTTTTT